CTCTCTCAGTTCTTCCCGATGATTCGGCCTTTCCCCCTTCTTTGGCATGTTCTTCTTTGCTTATTACCCGCATATTGCTCAGTGGCAAAATGATCGAGGGCCATCCGTCCTCGATTAATGATCTGTTGCACTTTCCCACTAACCTCCAACATCTGAGCGAGAGTTTCAACTCTGGTCAGTTCTTCTTTTGCTGCTTGCAGATCGAACTGGCTGCGTACATGCTATTCAGCCTCGGGCCCAACTTTGTGCATTTCTTGGAGCAACATGTGGAAACGGGTCAGCATTTGTTGCTGTCTTTCCTCGATTTGGCCACGGGCTCTCGGCACTACCTCTTCTTCATCAGCAAAGAGAGTAATGGAGACGGTGTAGAAAAGGTGAGGTATAAAACGGGTCAGAATGGACGCACGCAGACAGTTCCACATAAAAGCCATCCTAACGAGTGAGTATGTTGCACAATAAACTCAAAGAGACAATAGCAAATTCCATAACCTCACTTCAATTTCGTTTTTCCACTGCAAAAATAAGTACAATAACTACGGATTCAAAATACTTTAATTCTATCTATATCTAATTTCGTTGTTTGTCTATGTGATGACGTTTCTACTTGAGAGTGTACATATCAGCAAATATTCAAGACAAATGGAATTTATAACAAGAAGATGACATGAGTTTTACTTATCATGGCGTTATCAACTCCTCCCCCACACCCTTGAAGACTGCATACCATCAGGGATACTCAATCCTTCTACTCATACGCCACTCAGATTGAGGACTCCTACATCGCTACTACTCTTTAAATATTTCCTTCCCCTATGAGCACAACCACGAGCGACTACGCTTGGTACCCACATCTCACTACTATAGGAACTACGCGCGACCTCGCGCCTACGTGCATATCCAACTTTTTAACCCGGCGCAGAAACACGCCTATGTTCATTTTCATATTATGCCTTGGAACAATGTTTCCGTACTACCGCACCCGGTGCTAAGGTTAACCCTCAAACCACCTTGTGCCACCACACACATAATTATTGCAAGAGACGAACAACATAAAATTTTTAAATTAATATGGGTATGCATCCTTGCACTTCTCATAGCCCCTCGTACCATCCAGGTTCATCCCGGAGCAGCTACATCCTTCTGCTTACTCTGTCTACCGCTCATAGGATCTGATTCTGCCGTCAGGGCATATCCCGCAAGCGGGCCAGCGATCCTCGGCTTCACATGGCTTACGCCACAGCACACACACTTAATTACTTGGATAAGTACAAAAAAATAAAATAAAATAACATGAACAACCAAACCAACAACAGACAAAATGATAGCAACCTCCCACCTTACTTGGCCCACTATTCCGCTCAGGTCCATCCCGGAGCAGTGCCTTCGTCGTACCTCCAACCTTCGTTACCCCTTGTTGCTGGGTCATCGTCACTGCGTTGGGGAATCACAGGATCTGATTCGGGGCTGTCCGTCGATCTGGCGAGCACACGTCCTTTTCAAACACAGCCAATACTCACCGAGTTCAAACATCCTTTCCCAGAAAGGCATTTTTTCCCTCCTGCCCATCCAACGAAGCCCTGCCAAAACCACTTTATCAGGGTAGTCCAGCTTCCACAGTTCTTCAATTAAGCTCAAAATGCTCAAGCATGTTAACCCCGGGTCATTTGAATTCCAGGAAATCCTCAGGATAGTGTTCGCCACCGTGGCGAACTTGGCAGCCCGAGGCCCAAACGACGAGTAGTTCTTGTATGTCTGGAACCGAAGGGGCCCTTTGTCCCAGATTGAGTCCAGTTTCTTGAACTTGTGCGACATCAGTATAGTTGTTGGGGACCCACTCACAATTAGCCTGGTCTCCAAAAAATCAGGGACCCCCACACCAGGGTCCGTTCTTTCCAGCTGTAAGCCCAGGGGGTAAATCTCCCGAACCAACTCCAACTGTCGCTCAGCATTAGCAAGCCCCGCAGGGTCCCCTTCCCGAAAAAAAGATACTACGAGGAGGTCGTCAATATATCGCAGCCACGGCCAGTGTGATCAAGACAACAACACAAGTGGTGAGTAGCAAGCATCCACAGAAGGTGCCCCCGACAGGCGAGTAGAGTCAGCCAATGACAACAAACAATCAATGTGTCAGCTGCTAATCCTCGTGCTATCTCGCTGCAGATGCCCGTGTGTCCAGGCACAAGGGCTGACGCATGGCAGTACGGCGTAACCCAACGCCGTACCGCCCGTCAACGCACACAAGTGCACGTGTCGATCCCCACCAATCTTCACGGGAAATGGCAGCGCATGTCTTCACGACCACGTGTCACATTCCACTCTGGCCAATGCAGCGCATCCACGAAGTGTGCCACGTTAGCAACAATGGCCGGTAAGGCCGTCAGAAACGGAAGTCGCAATAGCCACATCAGCAGCGTACAACTGCCAAGTCTGTTTGTCACTGGTAAGCCACATCAGACTAAAGATACCGCTGCGGCCTCGGAAGTGCCACGTCAGCAGGTAGGTCGCGACACAGGTAAATGCCAGCCACGTCAGCACCTCTGCCAACGATTCTCTCACTAATCGTCGATCGCCACCTCAACAACAATGTGCCACGTCAGCAATGTCACAAGTCCACGTCATCATCCGTCTCCAGGTACGTGAGCGCAAGGTCAATGTCTAGACTCGCGACGCGTTTATAAATGTGAAAAAATCGACGCACGGCCCACCTCCATGTACTTACCATAGCGTGTCACGGGGCGCATCATTAGATCGCGACGAACTCTGATACCAAATTGCAATGAACCCAGTCAATTGGAAAGCTCGTCAAGTCGAAATACAAGATGGCTCAGCCCAATCAATTGGAAAGCTCGTCAAGTTGAAATACAAGATGTCTCAGCGCAGGTCTCAGCGCAAGTCAATGTCTCCAATAATCAATGTCTCAGCCCAATCAATTGGAAAGCTCGTCAAGTCGAATGTGATCCACAGTACAATGTCTCGTAACCAAGGGACGAAGCTGAGAGGAGGGAGATAAGATTTAGAGGGTGGAAGAGAAAGTATCCATCAATGTCATCGAAGATAGATCTCCCTCAGGACCTACTCCTCCTTCGGGCATCTTCCCTTTGTGAACGCCAGCAAACAGTATCCCAAGACGAGACTGGCGAAAACCGATCACAGCATAGTGCCACATAGGCACAGATCTTCCATGAAGACGTCACAGCAGCGCGCAATATCGACAACAATAATCAGGTAAGATTCCCTCTCTCTCACCACCAATCTCACAGCCCTGATCTCCCTCTTCGTTGATACCCCAATCTGCGTCGAAGACAATGTGGCAAGCGCCACGTCAGCAATCAAGACCCCAGCTGGCACCAAGGACAGAGAGGCGCCAGCAACGCAATGCAGCAGTCTCGCGTCGCCGTCTCACGCAATGCCAGCATAGCACCAGCAGCGTTAAGCCAGCGTCCAGCCAGTGTCGTGGCAGCGTTGAGCAGCAAGTGCAAGACTGAATGTCGATGAGCAGTGGCTGAGTCAACAAGTAGTGTAGTGGCAAGTTGACCAGCCTCTGGTCTCCCGGATACAAGGGCTCAGATTGACTCCAAGACAATGGCCTGGATCTCAAACAGTTGCAGACTTCCACTTGGACCAGATTTTGCCTGGATACCTGCGTACAGCCAAATGTGTGTGTCTGATCGGTGGCCTGGACAGGGTCTGTGCAGACTTTGACTCCTAAGCCTCAATTTCCGAGCTACAGTTGACTGTTGACTTTCTTTAGTCAACTGCCGGGCACAAGGCCTCTGAAGCCTCGTTTCGGGGCCTTGTTTGGGTACGGTCTGGCACAGGGCCTCACTGTGGCCTGTGGGCGGCCCCTGGCCGACGACAATAGCATATTTTGCGTGAGTTATTACAATGAACACAAATATGAAATACGTGTTCCAGCGATCAGAGCTTGATGAACAGCCAGGAAGCCCTGGTGTGACGTGTCGTGCCGTTGCCCGTAGTGTCTGTTGTATCGTGCAATAGATGCCGCAAATGCCACAAACTAAACTTCTGCAGCTTCTGCCCAACTTCTGCAGCTTTTGCCCTATCGGTCATTAGTAATAGGTATGCAGTAGCGTACTCCTGTGCACTATATAGCCACCATGTGGATGGTTGTGTAGTAGTGTACTCCTGTGTACCACATAGCCACTATGTGGATGGTCTAACTGGTCCCTTTGGGGATCCATGGACTACTGTTTGAGACTAACTGGTCCCTTTGAGGACCCATGGACTGCTGTTCAGACCAACGTCTTCCCCTGAATAGAACGTACTGTAATTATAGCCGTATTTGGCTCACCTCTCAGTCCAGATGCAGCGAAAATGACCGTACGTTCTATTCGGGGGAAGAAGGTAAGGTTCCATAGCACATGTTTTGTGCAATAACCTGGCGACAAAGTATATATCATAGTAGGTGTAATCCTGTGTACCATATAGCCGTCAGGTCGATGCTAAAAAATGGTCCATTTAGGGACCCATGGGTTGCTGTTTCAGACTAAGGCTGCATTGCATACGTTTTGTGCGAACATGATGATGCATTATCACCTTTTCCTGTCGTTGTTTTTCAATTGGGATACAGGGAAGGCATGACACTGGGCCTCGCTCCACTTCACAACGTTCTACATGTAGCCGGATTGACTCGCCGCCAAGATACCAGTCGGAGCAGATTTTGAGTTAGTCCAACATTTTGAATGTATCGAAACCATAGTGGAGCAAGGGCCATTAAGCTGCAATTGGCTTTGCCAGAGCAGTATAGTTGTGGCAGACATGGCTGAGAGAACATCAAGGACAAGGCACAATTGTGACACAAGGGATGATAATAAGCATTGCTAACGGATTGACATGTACATACCGCTAGCCATGTTCTTCAGCACAAGGGATTATAAACAAATCAACATTGAATGACCCCCCCCTTCCCCTTCCCCCTCTCCGACCCCCGTCTACACACACATGCCCAGGTGCAAAGGCAAACGAGGTTCCCGACTCACCTGCTAGAGGCTGACTGGCTTGCTGATGCCTCCTCTGCCATGTCCTTGGTAACCCGGAACTCCTCTTTGGAAGCATCATGCAAATCTTGGAGCCTGCTCTTGGATTCGTCCTGGCAAAAACCGGGAGCACGCCCGGGGGGAAGGGGAAGGGATGGGGGGGGGGGGGGGGGGGGGGGGGGGGGGGGGGGGGGGGGGGGGGGGGGGGGGGGGGGGGGGGGGGGGGGGGGGGGGGGGGAGGAGGGGAGAGGGACGGCGAGACGGGGGGACAGGCAGTGAGGGTAAGTTCCTGTTTTATCCTTCAAGAAAGCAAACTCAGATCCCAACACAGCCTGCCACCCTGGGGAAGCCCCTGAGTATCAGGTCTGCCCCTTACTGCTGAGACTCCAATCTATTAGTGGGGAATACGGCCTGCTGGCAACTGGGACCACCTTCCCACAGTACAATCTCTTATTCACAGAGAAGCCAAAACTCCCATATTTGGGGAGCAGTAACAGCCGGTCATACAAAACCAACCAAAATAAAAGAGAAGAAGGGCCTAGAAACCCACTTCAGTCCTCATTCTGGGAGTCAGATTCTTCAAACTCGATCAACAACCGCTCAATCCTCTTCCATACTTTGGCCCATTCAACCATTTTTTCCAAGGCAGTTTACAGCAAAAGCTAGGTAAAGCAACCAGAGAATAAGCAGGAGCCCTACTGACCATACCCCTTACCCTTTCACAACCCCCCTCTTATTTTTCAGGGTAAAGAGGGAGGTAGCTTGGGGCCAATAATCCCTACCCCTATGAAGCGGGGAGACAACTCCAATATCAATCTCAGCCCCCCCAACTGCGCTTGCAGTCACCCCCATCCTCTGCTAGGGAGGCAGCTTATGTGCCAATCTGCCAATACTCGTACCAAGAACCATAATTTCTTATTACCACAGCTCTGCCTGCTTTTGTTAAGTCTTTTCCATAACATTCCTGCAGCACAGGGTAAGGAGGCATCCCTTCCTCCTCTCCATAGCAAGGAGGCAGCTTCGATGCCCTACCCCTCCCCTACCCCTCGGCCCACACAACCCCGTTTCTCTACCAGGGAGGCAGCTGTAATCAACCCAGCAAAGCTGAGAAGCGAAAGCATTTCACGTTGCAGACATCAAGTCCCCATTCCAGGGTCCCGGATTCTCCCGGTCCCAGATGGTCCCAGACCTACCTGTCCCAGGAGGTGAGTCCCAGGTAGGGTCATTAGGGTCCTTAGGTCCGTAGGAGGCCAAAACGTCACAAGTCGATGCCGGGCTGGTACTGTACAGGCAGACCGGTAAAAGTACAACCGGTACCCGACAAGAAAGTCCAGGCCCAAAGTCCAATTTTGCAGAAGCGTCACAGGAAAAAGTCCGGAAGGTACCGGCCCACCAAAATTCAAGCAGCAGACAGGCCGTGGGCGACCAATACCGGTCAAAAGCAAACCAAGGCCAAGTCAAGCAACTATTAATAGCTGTTACAGTTCAGCTCACATGTATCTACTGTCCTGCGCGAGTTGCGGAAGCGCTGCATGTTGCTTGTGCGACCTCAGAGCTTGGGCTGTGCACCAGAGGGCCTGCTTGCCGGCGGAACAGTTAGGGTTGAGAAGGGAGAAGGCGACCATAGCTGCCCTAGCTGAAGTTGTAGTTGAGGTAGAGCGGATGTATCCAGGGTTACAATCCAAGTAGTAGCAGATAGATAGATAGATAGAGAGAGAGAGAGAGAGAGAGAGAGAGAGAGAGAGAGAGAGAGAGAGAGAGAGAGAGAGAGAGAGAGAGAGAGAGAG